ATCGTCATCATTAACATCTCCCATGGTGTCTTCCAACGAGCGACAACAATCGATTCACGACGCCAAAAAAATAAGCTTCACCGTCGTCCTTAGCCAGTGGGTGTGTTGATTGTTTTTTTTTTACGAAGAAGACCTCATGCGAAGAAGAAAATGGCGAGTGGGTGCGTTGAAATTTTGGGAGGGAGCCTGGCGCACGTGGGATTGAGGTGGGTAAAAGGGTGTAGTTTTTTTTCTTTTTTTACTTTGGGCCTTATATATGGTGTACTGATGGGTATAAAAAGGTGTACAAAGAGACTTTTTGTGAACCAAACTATTAGAGCGTTTGCTAAAACTAAAAAAAGTACTTTTCAACTTAAATTTTGACTTAAAAAATCTGAAAAAGTGTCTTCAAATGACAATTTCTACTTAAATTAAGCACTTAAAAGCTAAAAGCTGAAAAGGGGTGGAAGAGTGCTTTAAACTACTTTTCACTTTTTCTATTACATGAAAAACACTTATTTTACCAAAAATGGTCAACTTTTACTTTTTCAAAATCACTTTTATCTCAAACTCTACCAACTTTTACTATTAAATATTTTCTCCAAAATCATTAAAAAAAATATTTTTTTTGAAGTAGAAGTAATCGCAAACACTTCTTTTGTTAAATAGACCAACTCAAGCTAGAAAATTACAGTCCAATTAAAACATTCTTAGTTTGCTTACAACAATCAGAATCAAGACTAAGAGCATCTCCAATGGGTTTGTTTTAACGTAATAAAAAAATTCCACCTCATAAGTTTTGAAAGAAAGATAGTAAATTAGACTCCAATTCATTCTTTTATTCGGTCTTTTAAACTGATATGAATTCAAAGCTTTCAAGTGCTTTTTTGGAATTTACAAAGTGCGTCTAACACTGTGACTCGGCGATTCGAGCAAAATATTCGCAACTCCTTAAAACATGTGGCCAATTCTGAAAAAGGTAGTGCTCCATTCCAGGAAGATTTCATGAACACTTTAACATTGTACATTGGAGAACTTTTATTTAATACTTTTAATGTGTGTATGATAAGGATAGACATAATCTTATATAATCGTCATTTGGGATGACTTCTCCTCCTCCTCCTCCTTCAATGATTGTCGCACTTTTACATATGTAAATGACATCTTTCATGACATTTTGAGAACAAACATGACATTTTTTACAAGACAGAGGAAGAAGAAATCAGATGAGGAAAAGCAGGCGAAGAAATACGTGAGAGATAATGTTCCAATATGAAGAGGAAGAGGAAGAGGAAGAGGAGGAGGAGGAGGAGGAGGTGGATGAGGACGGGGAGGAGGAGGATGAGGAGGACGAGGAGGTGGTGGTGGTGGTGGAGGGGGAGGAGGAGGAGGAAGAAGAAGGAGAAGATGAAGAAAAGGGAATAGAAGGGGAGTAGTAGAACAACTTGGAGTTTTGGACTGCACATTGTAGAGAAGGATCAATTTGAAATTGCAGAAGAAGAGAATTGATTTTGGAGTTGCAAGAGAAGTGGATGAGCAGAAGCAAAAGGTCGAAGCTGGAGGCGTAATGCGCAGTTGAAATTGAAGCAAGAGGGATACACACGAGGACATTTTAGTCATGACATAAAACATAAATACTCCGAATAGGAGCATATGACTCTTATACTGGAAATAAAACTTATTAATTCCTATTTTGTGTTTTTATCTATGTTTTAATCTTATATATGGCAATTTCTTAATATAAGACGTCAACTTTAATTTAAATACATTGAGCATGTATAGGTAGAAAACAGTAGGAGTGAACAAAAAAAATGAAAAATCAAACCCAGTTAAAACAAAACTGACCAAAACCAAACCCCATGTGCGTACATGCATATGTGTGTATAAACTAGATTCTCACTCGAGCGATACACGAGCCAAAATATAATTCAATCATCTAATATTTTTTACATCAACAATAATTCAAAGATTGATAAAATTATAATATATAACGGAGTTATATAATACTACTCCACAATATGTTATATATTAAATTGTTAAGAAGAGCAGATTTTAACGTTTACAATATTCCCAAAGCATACAAAATATTTAAATTACAATGAGGTAAATATTAAAATTTTTAAAACACTTCTGTGTAAATAACACTCATTTACAAAAAAAAGGCCTCCAAGGCCATCATTCATCTGCCCATGTTTGCGCACTTCCTCACCGTAGCATCATGTGCACTTTCACGGGACTCAGCTGCTCAGCACGACAATGAATATTTTGAGACAATACGTCGCTGGTGGTTGCATTCATCATGATGACTCCTGTGTGGCTTTGGATAAGGTGTTTGGATAACACAATGTGTAAGACTCTGGTTGACAGATTTAGCTCATATATAATGTCTTCGTGATTTTAAAAATAGTTCCTTCCTTAGAAGCATGTACCTAAGCAATATTCCTTTCTGCACGGGTATATCAAAAGAAAGTTGGCTTCTTGGAAATAAGAAGAACTCTTTTGTTTACCAAATAAAGAAATCAAATGACATTTAATTGATAGTGACCGTAGGTCGCGCCATCTCCAGACCCACCCTGTACCATTTTTAATTTTATAATAGTTTAAAGCATAATTAATTGCAATCATCATGATGACTCCTGTGTGGCTTTGGATAAGGTGTTTGGATAACACAATGTGTAAGACTCTGGTTGACAGATTTAGCTCATATATAATGTCTTCGTGATTTTAAAAATAGTTCCTTCCTTAGAAGCATGTACCTAAGCAATATTCCTTTCTGCACGGGTATATCAAAAGAAAGTTGGCTTCTTGGAAATAAGAAGAACTCTTTTGTTTACCAAATAAAGAAATCAAATGACATTTAATTGATAGTGACCGTAGGTCGCGCCATCTCCAGACCCACCCTGTACCATTTTTAATTTTATAATAGTTTAAAGCATAATTAATTGCAATCTACTTGCATGTATACATGAAAGGATATGAATATATCACCTTTATTTCTCTACCCATACACATCACCCGAGAAAAACATTTTAACTAATTTTGAACTCGTTTCTTTATTTGTGTTTTTGAGCGGAAATGTGACATTTTTTTCATCTTCTTGTTGTATATAGTAAGATAGTATGTGTGTGTATAAACTATGATGAAATATTTTTTAATCTCATAATGTAATTACAAATACTATTTTACAACAATGGTTTTCGTGTTTGATTTACATTTTTAGTGTAAAAACAAAATATATTTCAAAATAATTCTTTGCAACATGGTTCACCTATTTGTATGTTGTATTTTTTGTTTTATCATAAAACCTGTATCTATTTGTGTGTTTCAAGTTTCCTTACCAGTTCTATAAGTAGTGGTACATTGATACTTAAGAGGATAAATAAAGTAAGGAGAAGTAAAACACTTACAAATCCAAAAGAAAGAGTTATTGTATGACACAAAAATAAGTATAGAGAGTTGAAACATATTCACGTTGAAATGAATGGATGAAATAATCAAGTTGGAGTTCATCAAGAATGCAACCATTTCCTTAAACATTTAGAGGGGACATGCAAGGAATTAGGCTTACACAAAAGATGAACTTTTCAAGGAGGATCCTGAGTGCAAAATAAGTAGACATCGGTTGAGTGACAGTGGAAGGGCAAAGGCTTGATGCAAATGTTCACCGATTGAGATCAAATGCAATTATCTTCAACAAGAAATCCTAAACTTGTTGTACCTTCTAATGTATAGTTATAATGTGCTAATGTGCCAACAACATATACAAAATGAGATGATATAATGAGTGCAACCATAAACCGAATAAGATCCTATAATGAGATGTCTGTTATGGGAGCATATACCTGACTAGTAAACATACGACAAATTAAAAAACACATGAATAAAGAAAAACAATTTACTGGCAAAGCTATTATAAATGCAGGAACAAATTCAAAACACATGAATAAATTTAAAGAACACATGACATACCTATCATAAAACGCTAGGATAATTTTTAGAACATTAACGAATTATAAAGGACTTTAGTATTACCATTCATTCAAAATAGTTGAGCAACTATTTACTAAAACAATTATTTTAACAAATTACCCTTTAGATTTTAATTATTATTTTCAAAAATTCTTTAAAACAATGATGGAATGCTCACTGAAGCCTTTTTAAAGCTTCTGAAATTTCTGAAACTTTCTGAAATGTATGTAGAGCTTTTAAAAACAAGAGCTTTCTGAAACTTCTTTGGAAACAAGGACTTTCTAAAATAGTGTTAAACAAAATAAACTGGGGATATCGTAAACTGAGCGATTACCTTGAACTCTTTGACAGAACAAGAGCCGATTGAAGAGTTGAGAGATTCTGTGATGTCGAGGTGCAGCTCCAAGCAACGATGACAACGAACCAATGTTGAGGAATGAGGAGTGTGGAGTAGCGATGTCAGCGAACAATGTTGAGGAGTGTATGAACGATAATGATATTTGAGAACATCTTGGCAATGTGAATTATATAGCGAAGAAGTAAAGATGGTAGGCGGACCACCACTTTAGTAGCGAGGGAGTTCGTTGGCAAAGTAAATACGCGGGTAGACGAGGATGATAGGCGAACATTGAAGACTCGGACATTTAGCACCGCGTTTTCTGGATTCAATTCCGAAAACACATGTAAGTGGCTTCTTAGAAGAAAAAACGAAGATATGTTTCATTTTTGGGAAAATGGTCAAATAGACCCTCGAACTTACATAAAAAGGTCAAATAAGTTCTTATATGGGAGGCTCTGTCCGACCGTCGCCATTTGTGGCAGTTCCAGGTGAAATTTTTTGAGCATCTTATTCATTAAATCTAATTTACTAATAGCAAATTTCAGTTAACAATTCAATTTGAAAGACATTCAAATGAATTTCCGAAAAACAAAAAATATCTGATGAAAATATTTGAAGCCATTTACTTAGTACAGTGTTTGCCATGGCAGCAGGGCCCCACTCGATCGCATCACACTATGGCGACTCCGAAGATTCAAAAGAGGGAGCGCGACACGCAGCACATTCCCACTTCATATTCTAATAAAGTCTCTCTCTCTCTAGGTACTAAAAATAAAAGAATCGCACTTTTTCTCACCATATAAAACAGGAGGGAAGGCTCTCCAACCAATTTCAAAGTCTCCATCCCCAACTTCTGCTTAATTTTCAAGCTGTCCTTTTGCCCTTTCAAAACCCAGTAACTGCTCCCTCTTTTCATCCATCTTTACTACTCGCTCGTGTAGCCCCGGCGATTGCCCTTTCGATCTAGGGTTTCTGTGCCCCTGCGGTTACTAACTAGGGTTTATCACTCCCCATGGCGGCGGAGAAGCTTAGGGATTTGAGTCAGCCTATTGACGTCGCATTGCTTGACGCCACTGTCAATGCTTTCTATGGAACTGGATCTAAGGATGAGGTGCTTCCCGGAATCTTCCACTACACTGCGTTCTTTATTCCGTTTCTTTGTTTTCTCATATTCTTTGTCTGGTCAATTGCTACATATTTTTTAACCTTTGGCTACTTGAATAAATTGTGCTGAATTAGGGGAACATTATTTGTGTACTTTTATTTTCTTGTGCTGTCATGCATTCAATTTGTGCATGCTTCATCTGGGTTGCTCTTTGGGTTATTATTTGTTTTTTAATATTAGCAGACATGTATGGCGATATGTCAGTTTGTGTTGTTGGCTGCAACTCCTGATATAAATTATGAGTTGAAGATGCAAATGGTTGTATTTTACCCAATGCTAGGTAAAAATATAAAATAAAAAGATAGAAGGATAGGAATATTAACTAAGGGGGTGTTTGTAACTGATTCTGATTCTGCTTCTTTTTTAAAGCAGAATCAGAATCAATTTTCAGAATCTGGTCCCCTAGCTTCTAAAAAAAACTGATTGCAGGAGTAAACTAGAGCACCAGAATCACTTTTTCTATTTTATCCAAACTCACCAACTTCTCCTCATGCTCCCTGAAGGAGCAGAAACAGTTTTAAAATCAGATCCTAACACCCCTAAATATGAAAAAAGTGAGAATCCCTTTGTTAATCTGAAAAAGGATACACAAGTTGTAAACAGAAAGGTAAAAAAGCCTTCTCTTAATGTTTAGTAGCCTGCTAATCATGCTATCTAATGTAGCTATTTTAGTAGCTATCAGAAGCATGTGGTAATTGGAAATACATAATATGTTATGTTGTATGTTATGGCACATTTGTCTCATTCTAGAGCCTTGACAAAATATTTTACCCAGCCTGATCAAAATATATGACATTATGGCCCTATTATGTTTTATCATTAGGCTTCATAGTTGTCATAGTGCATGACGATCGCCATGGCTCAAATGTATTTTTCATGGCACATGGCGATGGTGCATACACAAATGGCGCATATGGTGCTATGGTGACGACTATTTTTTCATGGCGATGGCGTATATGGCGCACACAACACACCATATCTAGCCATTGACTACAATGTGTTTAATTGGGATAAAACTGTGTTTTTAATTCCTTTTTATGTGTTTTTGCAGAGGGCTGCTGCAGATCATATATTGCGTGATCTACAAACTGAACCAGACATGTGGCTTCAAGTGGTCCACATCCTATCCAACACACAGAACTTGAATACCAAGTTTTTTGCTTTACAGGTGAGTAAAAATCTAATACATAAATGCCCCTTTTCCTCACATGATTATCTCATATGATGTCAAGGAGCAAGAATGCATGATTGACAGAGTGGAAGTTGAGATTGTTCAACATCTACTCTGAGCAAATATCTTCCATGGGTCTCTCATTTATAAAAAAACTAGCAGCTTATTAAGATCACATGCCATGGATCCTTTAACTAACACATCATTTACAGTCTGTGTCATTTCATAAGATTCTATGCAAGAAAATTGTAGAAACGGTATGGTGCATGCACACTTAGGCATATTACTGAAAAGAGGGAATTTTACTCACAAATCACAATGATAGACACAGGAAAGAGAGGTGATGAATAATGTTGGGGACTAGTATTACTATCCATAGGTTTTTCTTAATTGGATTGATCAATGCGGGCCATGTGGCTGACACTTAGATTGGAGAAACTGAGGATTGTCAGCCGTGGAGTCTGTTCTTGTGAAGTTGAGCCAATAACATCATTATAAGGTTGCTTATTGCATCATCTAGTAGATATGATCATCTAATTGGCATTTCTAAAACCAAGAGCTTACAGAAATTTATAGTTTGATTTGCATGCTATTTATCTGACACAATAGGTACTGGAAGGCGTCATTAAGTATAGATGGAATGCCTTGCCAATCGAGCAACGAGATGGGATGAAAAACTACATATCTGAACTTATTGTGAAGGTTAGATCCTTTTCCGTATTACCACTTCTTTTCGATTAGTCCTACGGTCCTTGTAACTTACGTTTTTTTGGTTTTACAGCTCTCTAGTGATGAAGGTTCTCTTAGACGGGAAAGATTATATGTGAACAAATTAAATGTTATACTGGTCCAGGTAACTTTTCTTTTCCATTTCCCCCTCGCTTTTCTGGCTGTACATTTTAACTTCTGAGATTATAAGTGTTGTGTTTGGCTTTCTAATATAATTTATGGCTAACATTAGATTTTGAAGCATGAGTGGCCCACTAGATGGCGAAGCTTCATTCCGGATTTAGTTGCAGCAGCAAAGACAAGTGAAACCATCTGTGAGAACTGCATGGCTATATTAAAGGTTTGTCAAGAACATCTTGCTTCTGATTATGTAAACTTATAGAGTAACGAGTTATGGCAACACAAACTGTTATCTCACAGCTTCTGAGTGAGGAGGTGTTTGATTTCTCAAGAGGTGAACTGACTCAACTGAAGATCAGAGAGTTAAAAGAGTCATTAAACAGGTAGTGATCTACAATCACACAATTACCTTATTTTGCAGCTTCAGAGGCTTTACTATGCATTTATTTTTTAGTACTGGTTCACTTTTTCTTTTTACACCAATGCACCGTTTTCCACCTTGTACCGTTTCACACAAGTATGTGGTCAAAGATGTAATGTGACATGACATACTTCCCCGTGCCATGTTTCCATGGCATTTCTCCTATTTTACTTTCTTTTTAGCCCTTCCCAAAGTGATGGTCACTTTTCTAGTCTGAACACCATTAGCATTTCTCTGTTTCAACTCACCTTTCCTATATATATTTTGTATCTGAAACGTGTGGTTGCGGAGGGTCCTTTTGTTGGAAAAATTTAGAGATTAAGCTTCGTTTCATTTGTTTCCTAAAAACCACTTCAATGGCAAGTGTCCCATATACTGGAGAACGTTTCATATTTTATAGTTGCTTTGTTTAGAAGGATTTTTATGCTTGAATAACATTATCCTCTTAGTTATTGTGGCATATCGTTTTGCTTCTTGTTTTGTAATGGATCATTGCATTGTTTCTGTCATTATCTTTGTGAATATACACAAACAGTTATTGATAAAAACTTTCATTTTGCTTTAACAGTGAATTTCAACTCATTCATGAGTTATGTATGTACGTGCTCTCAATATCTCAGAGAACTGAACTTGTCAGGGCTACTCTTGCTACTTTACATGCTTTTCTCTCATGGATTCCTTTGGGGTATATTTTTGAATCCCCACTGGTGCGTAGTGCTTGTTTATTTTGAATTCATTTTCACGCTTTTCGTGCATTAAGTACTATGGGAAATTTGCACTTTTGATCCCTCTATTGTTGTCCTTTTGGAATCTGGAGCTAGATAATTGGTTGGGAGTAACTTGCAAGGGTGGGTTTGGGAGGGAATGTGTAGGAGAGCTGAGTGAAATTATCAGGAAATGCACAAAATCCAATTCCATCAAGTGCTGAATTAAATGCGGTAGCGGAAGCACCGTGTTATCAACAGTTTAAGTAATTGAGAAACCATATTTCAAAACCAGCTGCAACAGAGGGTCCAAAACTGAGTTTTCCTTTTTCTTCTTTTTAAAATTTCACTGGGTATGACTACTTTGGTACTTCATTTTCTTTGATATTACAGTTGGAAACACTCCTTAAGTTTTTTCCTGTTCCTGCTTACCGCAACCTTACTCTTCAGTGCTTGGCTGAGGTAGTCTAGCATTTCAACTATTTCTTGATTTCTTATATTTTGAATTGATGCAGAGCTGGCAAGAGCTACTAATGTGTAATTTACTGATGATGCAGGTTGCTGCACTGAGTTTCGGGGATTTTTACAACACGCAGTATGTGAACATGTACAACATATTTATGGTGCAGCTTCAGGTGAAAAAGCATATATATATATATATATATATATATATATATCACATTAATAGTTTTGTTTTTCAATGTATCATTGAACTGAGAAAATGGTGAAAGAGTTTGGTAAACATGGTGAGAGTTTGGTAAACATGGTGTGATTTTTTATTCTCCCATCCAAAGGTGAAGTGCATGCCAGATACAAGTGTGACTCTTATTGTTTTTGTTGTTCATTTAGACTATTCTCCCACCTCAGACAAACATTCCTGAAGCTTATGCACAAGGGAGCAATGAGGATCAGGTGAATTGAGTGCTTGCAGTTTTGCATGTAGTACTTAGGCAGTCTGATGTTAGTTATCATCCACCTGCTGATGACCTTTTGTTTACACGTGTTTTCAGGCATTTATCCAGAACTTGGCATTGTTTTTCACCTCATTCTTTAAGGCAAGTGTATTTCATAGAATCCTAATGTGCCTGTTGATGCTTTCATGTTAAACATATACAACATCGAAGTCTTATTCCCAAAAGATTTTGGGGTCGGCTAACTTAATGTTAAACATATGCAATTGATATTTTGATATGACACTTTACTGTTATGTGCATGCTAGAAAATTGAAAAGAAGATTTAGATTAAGTATTAACACAGAAGAACTTCTCTGCCCTAGACAAGAGAAGGTGTTGCAAGATCATGTCAAGGCCACAAGGAATAACTTCAAAATTGCTGATGATATCTCTAATGAATAGATCATTTTTTCTTAGTTCCAAGAGTCTTGGGGGACCAATATTAGAGTAATCCTAAACATATTACAATAAATGAAATTACTACTACTACTACTAGTAATAATAATAATAATAATAATAATAATGGTAATATAGTAATAGTAGGAAGTCTCATTTCACAGTACTGTTCAAAAGTCCTTTGGAGCAGATCTGTCATCAAATACGCCCTTATCATGTGCATCTACCCCTTTCCAAACATTTTTAGTGAAAGAACTGAAGAAAGGCATCTGATGAGTGATGACCATGTATAACTGTTAATTTTGCCACTTCTCTCTAACATTTGAACTGCCCTATTTCATGCGGCTGGGAGGGTGTCTGTTGTTACGTGGCCTACAATGTTGCAAATCATATATGGCTATTAATTCTTTGATTGGATGTCAATAACTTTGTATATCTTAATTTTCTTCTATTGTCATTGTCTTTTTATTGTGCAGTCCCATATTCGAGTGTTGGAGGTCTCTCAGGAAAATATAAATGCACTACTAATGGGTCTTGATTATCTCATCAACATCTCATATGTTGATGACACTGAGGTTTTTAAGGTATGCTATCTGGATTTAGTTTTTACACATATGTTACATCATTCCTCTTATTGATGAGCTGTGATATTTATAGGTATGCTTGGATTATTGGAATTCTTTAGTTCTGGATCTCTTTGAAGCACATCATAATGTGGACAACCCTGCAATGACTGCGGCTCTCATGGGACTACAGGTATTTTTGAGCTGACTCCTTGTTAAGAGTTTGTAACTTAAATAAATGACATGAATTGCAACCAGGAAGATGACAAAGCATCACTCTTTATATAATTTTTTGAATCAATGCTGTTTTTTTCTTTTTATATGGTGCCCTGTTAGGCATCACTGTAAGCTTGTCAAAATTTTTACTATTCTTAAAGGACGGTGATATATATGATGTGTGATGTACTTCAAATAAATCTTACTTATTTTAATAAAGCTAGTTTTGAAACCTGCCAACGAAAAACATAACATAAAACGATGGCCTAATATATTTGGTGCTGAAATGCTGAATGGTGTTTTAGATTACTTCAGTCTACATACTCTGTCTTTTGTAAATGAGCTAATGCTACAACTTTTGTTTTGATTCAGATGTCAATGCTTCCTGGTATGACTGATGCTTTGGGTGCACAACAGAGTCAGAGGCGTCAACTTTATGCTGGTCCAATGTCTAAGTTGAGGTTGCTGATGATATGTCGCATGGCTAAACCCGAAGAGGTTCTCATTGTGGAAGATGAAAATGGGAACATTGTCCGTGAAACTATGAAAGATAATGATGTTCTCGTCCAATATAAGGTCCCTTGTTTACTCTCCTAAGCTGTATAGAAGAAAAAAATTCAATGGCCTATAAAGATTCTCTCACTAGTTGCAATTTTCCTACACATTAAAGTAATGGGCTCTGCTAAGACAAATATTATGCTTTTACATTTCTGTTTGAAGTGCAAAACCCCAAATGAATTGTGCTTTACCTAAAAATGTGTATAGTTCTATATTCTAAAGATTCACAAATTACAGATCATGAGGGAAACACTGATCTACCTGTCACATCTTGATCATGAAGATACAGAAAAGCAGGTGCTATAATGCTTCTCTTTTTATTCTGCTTCTTAACAATTGGTAATTTTTCAGCGGGGTGCTGGAAATGGTGCATGAATTCCAAAATGTATTTGACATTACGTTGCTTTGGGTGATGTTCTTCTATGTTGTTGGCTTATTGCAGATGCTGAAGAAACTTTCCAAACAACTAAACGGTGAGGATTGGTCATGGAACAATCTTAATACATTATGTTGGGCAATTGGATCGATATCTGGGTCAATGATGGAGGAGCAAGTACGTTATACCTTGTTATTGTTGCTGTGCTGATGCTGCTATGAGTTTGTTTGCTTAATTTTTTGGAGAATTAGTTTATAACTTTGTATACCCCAAAGAAACCCAAATTCTAGGAGGTGTGAACACAATACCCCAAACTCGCATGTATGAGATACTCAATAAATTCCGCTAACTTATATTAAAGGTGACCTAGGTACCATGAGTGTAGTTTTTTCCTTTCATAAATGTGAGTGTAGGGGGGTGAAGTGCACATTTAAATACACTGAATATTGGGAGTAAACTCTAAGCACCCTCAACGTCTTTTGTGAAATAAATAAATTGCATTCATGGTGCTAATTTCACCTACTACCTCTGTTCCACAAAAATGATCAAATTGACTTTTCTTGGTCAATGATAGTAAACATTGGACTGATTTTGTTATTTTATTCATGTGAAGTTTATAACTTTTATACTTCTATGAAAGTATTTTAACAAAGAACATTTCCAGACAATTTTGATTTTTTCATTAATTTCATTTAAAAAATACCACTGGCCAAACTTGACTGTCATTGACCGTGACAAGGCAATATGGTCCAGTTTTTTGGGATGGAAGGAGTATAACATAATTTTCATGATATGAATCGCATACATGGAAGTTTGGGGCCTTGAGTTCACTCCCCAATAGACTATCATTTGTTGTCCTACTTTTTCTCATATGGGTCATATGTGTGTCAGATACTTGAGCTTTCTAAGTTTGTTTACTCTATTGAAACGATTGCAATCTGAATAGCCTTGTTTATTTACCTTTTCCCCATTTGCATTCCTGTATTGGGCAGGAGAACAGATTTCTTGTGATGGTGATACGTGACTTGTTAAATCTCTGTGAAATCACCAAGGGAAAAGACAACAAAGCAGTAATTGCCAGTAATATAATGTAAGCATTGGCATAGTGACCTATGGTGGAAGTGTCACTGCATATATTTGATTGTAGTTTCAAAGTCTGTTTTGCAAATAAACAATGTATATCTAATTCAACTTGCTACCTATTTGTCAACCTTCAGGTATGTGGTTGGGCAATATCCACGGTTTTTGAGGGCCCATTGGAAGTTTTTGAAGACTGTTGTGAACAAGCTCTTTGAATTCATGCATGAAACCCATCCTGGAGTTCAGGTTGTGCTTTAGAGCATAATATTTGCCTCTTTTTTGATTGAGCATTAATGCCCCAATCTGTTGTTTTTATTCTCTGCTTCTCTCCATATGTTTTAAAACCCTTGCATACAATCAATCCTTAGTTTCTTTCGGTGCATAAAAAATTGAAACTTCAGAGGGATGCTTTTTTACGCTTCAGCTTTTTTTCTTCTAATTGACTTGTACTGTGTATATGTGGATTCTTTCCTTAATAACCTGGTATATGGAGTAGCCATTGACAAGGTTGTTTGGCGTAGCCTAGACACTGACTAGTCGTCCTGGTGATGGAGAAGGGTCGAGAAGGAAGATAAGTTTATGAACAAATTTTGAGTTATAGAAAGTAATTTAAATAAAAAGGAACCCAAGCTTTCTGATTTGTGAAACTCGATGGACATCGTCGACTCCTAAGCATCGCTAGTCACTACTTCCCCTGCCGCGTGACTGCGTTGCAACTCGCAAAGTTGATGACAACCTGCAGCACCTGTTCTTTTGCTTTTATCAGTTTATTACTAGTTTCTAGGTTTTCGTTTTCAGTATCAGACCTTAGACTTCTTATATGGAATTATGAATTAATAATACACATATATTTAATAGGGAAAACTATCAAATAGGTCCTTATACTTTTACGAAAAAGTCAATCAAGTCCTCGTACTATTAAATCAATCAATTAAGTTCTCTAAGTGTTCAAAAATAATCAAAATAACTTTTTTTCCTGTAATCTGCCGGTAAGGCTTTTTATCGCCTATGTGGCGTCTAGTTGACTTTTCTTTACAATTTCTTTTTTTTCCCTTTCCCTTTTTCTTTACTACTCCGCATTACGTTTTTGACTTCTCTCCCCCACCACTTCTTCCTCCCTGAGCTTATGTAACCCGAAGTCTGCTCTTCATTTTCTTTCAATAAATAACAGAACATTAACTAAGTCAGCCAGAACTTCCTAACCGCTGTGACGCTGTCTCTGGCCGCCCGTCACCCACAAACTCTCCAACCTCCGTCTCCTGCCGGCCGTCGCCCACAGCATTCCTAACCATTGCCTGCCCTTCGTCTGCTATAAGTTCCCAAATTAAGCTCCGTCTCCGGCCGACCATTGAAAGAAACGGAGACAGGAAGGATGGAAGAAAGATAGAAATGGAAAAGAAAGATTGTTTGGGCGACGCAGAGAACAAGGAATAAAATGAAATTGAACAGAAGAAGAAGAAAGGATAAAAAGGGAAAACGCAACGTGGATGTCCAGGTCATCCAATTACCGGTGATACCGGTTATCAACCGGCTAAGAAGATAAATTGAACATATTTCTAAAGTAGAAGGACCTGATTGGATGATTTGATAGTACAAGGACTCAATTGACTTTTTTGATGTAGTACGAGGACTTATTTGACAGTTTTCCCTATTTATTATATAAGCAGTTCTGCACTACATAGTATACCCACTACACCATTTAATTTTAATATTATACCTCGTATAGACTATACAGTATTTATTGGTAATTATATACACACCACAGTATATATTAGCACATTTATATATTATATATTAATATTTGTTATACAAGATTAAAACATTAATGTAAATTAGTTTGCATAGAGTTATGCTAGAGGTACTTGCACTCTTACAAAAAGTCTTACAAAAGAGCTATGTGGCAGCATCACATTATTTAACACATCACTTTTACAAAAAGCCACATCACTATACATCTTTATGAAATGATCTGTTTAGCTTAGTAACTCATACTTCACACACTCACATTACATATGGTGTGGCTAGTCACCTAATTGTCGCCGAGGCGATAAGGCGGTCGGCTGGCGCTGCGACTCGCCTTACCACCGTGACAACCATGGCTATTGCATTATATTGGCTTCCAAAGTCTTACGTTTTAATGCAGTTTTCATGTGTTTTGATTTTGCAGGACATGGCTTGTGACACTTTCTTGAAGATTGTTCAGAAATGCAAACGCAAATTTGTTATTGTACAGGTTTGAATTACGATTCCTTGAAATTTTCTGTGATGATCCATTTTCACCTTGCAGTGATTAGGACTATGATGTATTGTGATGGTTGTAGGGTTTAAGCTAGTTCTTATTATGTTATCCAGGTTGGAGAGAATGAGCCATTTGTGTCAGAACTTCTAACAACTCTTCCTACAACAATTGTAGATCTTGAGCCACATCAGATCCATTCCTTTTACGAATCTGTAAGAACCCAATATGACAAAACTTAGACCTGCATACCTATGAATATAAAACAGAAAATTTTCCAACATGCTGGCTGCTTCTGTTTTCAGGTTGGTCAAATGATTCAAGCTGAACCTGATGCACAGAAGAGGGATGAATACTTGACGAGGTTGATGCAACTTCCTAATCAGGTATGAGTTCCATTTTTATGTTCTAGATGTCAATAAATTCTTAAATCATCCATTTCTGTTGGGTTTGTACGCTTATCTTTGTGTTACAGTTCTTATCTTTGTGTTACAGTCATCATCATCATTTAAATCCCAGCAATTTTGGACTCATGCAAAAATCAATTTAATTCTATAAATTTTTATTCCCAACTTTGTTAGATTTATCTATTTATAAACATTTATTTTTGCAGAAATGGGCCGAGATTATAGGGCAGGCACGATTAAGTGTGGATTACTTGAAAGATCAAGATGTTATAAGGGTTGTGCTAAACATTTTACAGGTACTATCATTTTATCTATATAAATTCTATTGGTTAGTGACTTGGTGATATTTAACTGAATTTATGTTTCTGCGCTTCTATTTTTGGACTTCATTCATCATCATCATCATCATCATCATCATCACCCCAATGCCACAAAGGCTTCCACCTACGGTGGGGTAAGGGGGGGGGGTCGGATGTACGAAACCTTACCCCTATACTGAAGCACAGAGAGGCTGTTTCCGGATGACCCATAGTGAAAACCGCGTCGGAAATTACATGGACCGACTGCTGCTTCATAGCAAAAAGTGTTGACAGTTTAGTGATCCATTTTGCTTTATTCCTTCATCTTCCAAGCTAAAAAATAGTGAGCCTTTGGCTACATTGCAAATATTCTTGGGGTTCATTAGTGCACAAAATTTTTGTTTCATATTAACCTCCTCTATCATGGATGCGGTAATTTAGGAAAAAACACTAGGACACAGTCTGGTAAATTAATCACGAGAGAAAAAATATAATTTTTCTAACAAGATGATTGAAAGCGATTTGTGTCCCTCGATATGTTTAACATGTTTTCACTTGTAACGGGAATTTAATAAATTACCAATTAAAATACTAGGTATCTTTAGGAATAAGCAGTATGTTTCTTTTAAATTTCTGCATAAGATTGTTGTCTAGTGTTTTGGAAATGTTTGTAAACTTGAGACTGCACACGCATTTACCAGTGATGTGCGGACAGAGGATACTACGATGCGTGTGAGACTGTCCAAAAGCATCGACTTCCTATTTGATAATAGGTGGCACACTTCAGGCACCATGTGGCATGTCAACACATGTCAACACTTCCGATGCATGATTTTTTTCAAAATGTTGTGTACTCTTGTAGACGAGATGCGAAGGGTTTTTACGTAATTGCTTTGTAGTTGTTTTAAAACTTGTTACTGTATATTTGGGTTATTGGTCCTTTCATTCTTGATTTTTTACGCTGTTGGTGATAGGCAACTAAGGCAATGCTTTATTTCAAACCTTTAATTTTACTATTGCTTGAAAAGAGCATTTTTTATGCTGTCGATGATAGACAATGCTTCATTTCAAAATTTTGATTTTACCGTTGTTTGAAAAGAAATTTAGATCATAACCCAAGTATTTCTTGTCCTCTACTCTGCAGACAAATACGAGTGCTGCCAGCTCACTTGGGACATACTTCTTGACACAGATATCTCTTATCTTTTTAGACATGCTTAATGTGTATAGGTACCCACCACAGCCATTAACTGTTCTCCTCATAACATGAGCTTTCTACATAACTGCTGCATGTCATGTCATATCTTTGTGATTGGTTGGTACAGAATGTACAGTGAGCTTATATCAACTAGTATTGCGCAAGGAGGACCATATGCATCTCGGACCTCAATTGTTAAACTCTTGCGGTAGGTCCAAAACTCAAATGGTTATTATCTTGCGTTTTCTTCTGATTTTGACCATGTAGTTCCTATGTCTTCTATTGCAGTTCAGTGAAGAGGGAAACTTTAAAGCTCATTGAGACATTTTTAGATAAGGCAGACGATCAGCCACTTATAGGAAAGCAATTTGTGCCCCCTATGATGGACTCAGTTCTCGGAGACTACGCTCGGAATGTTCCTGATGCAAGAGAATCTGAAGTTCTATCTCTTTTTGCAACTATTATAAACAAGTATGTTATGCTTTGTAACTTGCCCTTCATCCTCTCCCCAAAATAAATTAAACCAATTATTGTATTATTGCCTCATCCATTAATGCCTCATCTGATTTAGAGCTAGTGCAGTACATTTGACCTGTCTAAAAAATGAATCATTGTGAACGGTGACAATGGTGAAGAACATTTGTACCGTATTTTTGTGATTGATGAGTGCTTTCCCTAGGTATAAAGGCACAATGATAGAAGATGTTCCACGCATATTTGAAGCTGTGTTTCAGTGTACCTTGGAGGTGAGTAAACTGTTTTTATGTATTTATTAATAATTGTTAATAACAAGTATTGCGTATGACTTCCGTCCTTGCTTTGGGAGGTTGGTCAAGATGTGTTGGTTCCCACAATCACTGGTTTTCCTGAATAATTTGAATTGAGATTCAAAATCTAAATGCAATGAAGAGTTAGTTGGTTATAGATCACTGTAGGGGACTTGACAATTTTGCTGTTAGTATGCCCAAATAAACAGTCTAATATAAATTGCTTTGTTGTATTGTGATATTGTGGTTTTCCCCTACCAAACATAGGTAGCAATGCAGGGGTTTGCCTTTGAGACTGATATATCTGCTTATTCAAAACACAGATGATCACTAAAAATTTTGAAGATTATCCTGAACACCGGCTCAAGTTTTTCTCTTTACTGCGTGCAATAGCTAGCCATTGTTTTCCTGCTTTAATTCGGCTGTCAAGTGAGGTTTGTTTTAGCTGCTATTTTCTATGCCATGAAAAAATGTTCTCTTTATTAAAGCATTAAAAGATTTCATGCACCAATTTCTGCAATATTTCTGGCTTGATGCAGCAACTGAAGCTTGTGATGGATTCCATCATTTGGGCATTCCGACACACTGAGAGGAACATTGCCGAAACTGGGCTTAATCTCTTGCTTGAGATGCTGAAAAACTTTCAGGTATATTGTATCCAGTTTGGATTATTTCTACTTGCTATAAATCTTTTGGTCGTTTAAGCTCACTAAATTGCATGGTTATGTTGGGGGCAGGTATCTGAGTTTTGTAACAAGTTCTACAGAACATACTTTTTGACCATCGAGCAAGAAATATTTGCTGTTCTCACAGATACATTTCACAAACCTGGCTTCAAATTGCATGTCTCTGTTCTTCAGCATTTGTTCTGTGTGGTACGGGTCATACCATATCTACTAGAGTTTTTGTTAACTCATTCTCATAACACACAATAATGACATTTTTCGTTGTCAGGTTGAGTCAGGATTGTTGACTGAGCCATTATGGGATCCATCAACAAGTCCTTATTCCTATCCTAATAATGCAGCGTTTGTATTGGAGTACACCATCAAACTTCTTAGTTCATCTTTCCCTAACATGACTGCTTCTGAGGTATGTATTTGTGAAACACTCAAGCTTATTACTTCTGCCCTCTGTTTATTTTTTATATTTTTCTTTCCCTGAAATCACTTATTTTGATGTACAGGTTACTCAATTTGTCAATGGACTGTTTAAATCAACGAAAGATCCTACAGTGTTCAAGAATAACATACGAGACTTCCTTGTGCAATCAAAAGAATTCTCAGCTCAGGTTTGTGCATTGCTTTTACCCATGCCTTTTTGCTTACATGAAGCCTATTAATACAGACCTATTAGTGCTGTTTCTTTAAAATGTTTTGTTTCATCACATGTTTGTAGGATAACAAGGACCTGTATGCTGAAGAAGCTGCTGCACAGAAAGAGAGAGAGAGACAACGGATGCTCTCAATTCCTGGGCTAATCGCTCCTAATGAGATACAAGATGAGATGGTGGACTCTTAAAAAAAGCATCATTTTCTTCCTTAGCTTATTTTAGTTAGGTTTTCGGAGTGCCTGCCCTGGACACATTATGGTAACTAAATGCTGTTTGACTTATTAAATTTTGTCCTGCTTGTGGGGTAGTATTTCTTCCTTGTGCAGGGGGTGACTTGTAGACTCCGGGGCATGGTGCAAAAGGGACAACAATAGTGATTTTATAGCCTCTAATTGAGAAACAAAGGATATGATAATTTATGGTTTACCAGTTTCAGCCTTTGGTATTGTAATTCAATTGTAGGAGATTGTGGACATTAGCACCGTATTCTCAGGCACATTTGTTGGGTAGCATGACTTAAATAGGTTGTGTATAACGAGATTTGCCATTTTATGAAGAAACCATTTTTGTTTATTGGCAGCGAGTGCACCTACATTTTTTTTGAATTCACGAACTTTTATCATTTATTATTATTATTATTATATTATTATTATTATTATTATCATCATCATTAATATTACTATTACTGTTGTCTTAAATCTTAATCATAATTCTTGCCACTCATTATTATTGTGGTTTGTCAGTTGTCATTGTAAAAAATGATATGGTGAATTTAACTTATAAACTACTCGTATAAAGTTGCAACTTTTGGTGGGACCTGCAACTCTACTTGCAAAAACGGTACAATCCGTACAAATTTGATTCAAAAGATTTCACGTTATAAACGTAGTGAAACTGTGAAAGTGTGAACTGTGAAACATTGTCTGTCAAAATTCAGTGTAACAAGCCCCCTCTGAATGAGCATCTTACATTTGAAGCGTCCAAACTCCAAACTAGGGATGGAACCTCTGGTCTGGAACTCTGGAACCTAGGAGGCTAGGAACCGCCTGGTTTGCCCTACAGTCAGGGGTGGAATTGGGCCGGGTTGGACCTAGGCCCGGTGGGCTTTTGGTTATTAAGTGGTGGGCCCAAGACCGGCCCGGGTATCCACCGGGTCCGGTCTGGGTCTGGGCCAGACCTATTATAATATTTTTTTATTCTTTCCTAACTACACCTTGACCCCTCCCCCACCCCACCCCCCAAACCGGTTCAAAACACCCTGGTGACTCATCCCGACCCGAAAGGAAGCAAAAAAGGATTTAGGCCCGAACGGCCGAACCAGACCCGGGTCCGGCCGGTTCGGATTTTACCTAGCCCGTACCCGTCCCGGATACCCCCCCAAACCGGGCCTAGACCCGGAACCGGTTCCCGGGCCGGGCCCGCACAATACCGGGCTGGGCCGTGTGGCCCGAACCGGCTCCAAGACTACAAGGGCACTCAATCTCAATTTACAGTTTTGTGCACTGAACTGGCTGGTTCCGGTCCGGAGTTTGGATTGGTATTTTTATCCTTGGAACTAGGCATGGAGCCGGGTCGGGCACGGGCCTAGGCCCGGTCGGGACCGGCCTGGGTTGCCGTCGGGTCCGGGTCGGGTTGGGCCTCGGGCCACTTTGTATTTTCTTTTTTCTTTTTTCTAATTAACCCCCCCTCCCCCAAACCACCCCAAATGGCCCAAAATACCCAGCCCAATCCGGGTTTTAAAAAAATTGAAAAATTAAATAAAAATAATAATAAGGCCCGAACCGGGCCCGGCCCGGCCGGTTCATTTTCAGCTGAGTCGTGCCCGCCCTTCCTTAACCAGCGGGTTGGGCCTACCCGAACAGGACTATAGCGGGTCATCGGGTCGGGCCCAAACAGTACAGGTCCCGGGCCTTTTCCAGGCGGGGTGGCCCGACCCGAGTCCAAGACTACTTGGAACTGGACAAAAAAAAAAGAAAAATGACGAGAACTGGGTCTCAAACCGATGGGAACGCGGAATTAAACTTGGTATTGCCTTGGTATTGTGACTAGACTGACCTAGGTCCATCCCTAATTCAAAGTTCAAACTATCATCTAAACTGCATATTCATTGCGGTTGTTTAACCCAAATAAAGTAATCAGAACACTAATAAGTTCAGAATCTTTATCAACTCAACCTCAGTGCGTATAGAAATGATGGAATTGGGTCGGTCTGGGCCCGGCTGGTCTCGGCTCTAAATAATTGAAGCCTGATACTGACTCGATTTTGTCCGTATCAGTTCCATTTCGGATCCAAACTGTATCGGTCCAGGGTCGGAACTGGGCTTGTGACCAGCCGGTTCGTTCTAAAATATGTAAGCTCGAAGCTCGACCCTCTTCTACCACAGGCCGTACTAACAAGACCGGTCCCGAGTTGGGCTGCCCGGACCCAGTCCATCCCCAACGTATAGTAGCTCTATTTATTAAATTTAGAAAAACAAATCCTTTCATCAGTTCAGCTTATCCATTGAATAAATATCCAAATGAACTAAATTGAGTGTGTGCTTATTTAATAATAAAAGGATCCCATGTGCATGTGCATAAGTGCATGTGTATGTATAAAGTGTATATCTTTAATGCGCATGTGTTTGTGTATGTATAGAGTCTATCTTTTTTTTTTTGAAGTGTCATCAAGACATTTTTAAGATGGACAAAAAAGATTACTTGGGAAGGGAAGGAGTATTTCAATTTGTATTAAATGAAAGGCTTTGAACTTGTTTTCCATGGCCACGAAAAGATAAGATAAAGAAAAAAAAGATGAATAAGACAAATTGATGAGATAAGAAGAAAAGAAAGATAAAAAGAGATAAATCCTCAAACACTTATTCCCCTCCACTTCTCAATCTCCAAAATCATACTCTGATCCAACCCAAAGTATTATATCATTCTTGCGCCTCTAGTTCATGAATGTTTGGGTCTTTCACATCTTATGCTATTCTTCCTTTTGCTCGATTCTCTCATTCCTTGAGCACAGAAATTCTGCTGCACTCTTCAATTTCAGCCATCTTGTTCTAATTTTATGAGATACATCTCTATCTAGTTCACCGTCCTTCTGAACGATGTAGCTCAAGTAATTGAACCATATCACAAATCAATATATCCTTAATTACCATCTAAGACGATCCCATTACTAGTGTTGATTCTACCTCCACTAAACTTGTACTCCAATGTTTCTCGTCATACTTTCAACTTTGCTTTAGCACCTGATGTTGTCTCATCAATCAACACAATATCAATGACAACTTCAATACTTCATGCACCGCAATATATCTTTTAAATTGACTTCATGAGTTCATCCAGGCCTATAGCAAATAAGAAAGAACTTAGATTAAATCCTTGATACTCTTCACCCCCCACATTAGTACGAACACTTGTACAATCCTTATACGAATCCATGATGATATTGACATACTTAGGTAATTAGGTGATATGTCTTTTCTAGTTAAGGCTATCAAAGGACTTCCCAATATCCCTTATCATATTCTTTTTCTAAATTAATGAACACCAAATGCAAAATTTTGTTCGTATCTTTATACTTCTCTACAGGTCACAAAAGATGTATCACTGGTTGAGTGACCATGCACAAAATCAAATTGGTTTTCTAAAATCTTCACACTTTTTTGGAGCATTTGCTCAATCACCAACTCCCAAAATTTCTACTTTCTGTTTTTAGAAAGTAGAAAAATAAAAATTCACCTCATGATAGCAAATACATTCATAGTGTTGTGATAACAAAGGTTGGTAATATATCTAACAAACTATATTGAGTTAATATTGCAAGATTTCAAGTGAATTCCAATAGTACAAGCCGTTCCATTAAATTTTGTTGTACTCCTCACTCTTGATTCTCCTTTAGAAATATAAGCGTTCTAAATAAGTTATCACTCACAAACGAATACACAAAACCATATGTTGACATGATTTCTTGTAATGAGAGTCTGAATCTCTATTTACTTCTAACAATTAGATATCACTCACAAACGAGTACACAAAACTATATTTGTGTTTGAATATATCTCAAAAGTAATGCTGTTTAATATATACCCACGTGTTTGGATTTCAATTAGCCAAACAGTTCATTTAACGTAGTCTATCTAGTAAATGTAAAACTGATGTCAAGGAAATTTGTGTTTGGAGGATATATATACTCCACGTATTTGCTCTGTCATTGTTTATTTCTATCACTCTTAACCAACTCAAACGTAAGTGTTAATATCTTACATTAAGTAACCCACAGACGTATATCCCTTAATCAATCATTTGATAGTTCTTTTACTATTCCTCCTCTTCCTGAAATAATATAACACGTGGTTTGATAATCTTATCTTAGCATAACAGAGCAGTAGCCAAATGGACATTCTACATCATTCATGCTTAGGGCTGCACCCGCGCTGGTTGCGAGTAAGGGGGAACCAGAACCCTAACTAGGTAAACCGGTCCCGGTTCTGAATCAAAACCGGCAAGGAACCAAGAAAGTTGGTGTCTATTCAGTTCTTTTACCATCCTGGTTCCAGTGGAGTCCAGTTTTGGAATTAAAATTAGGTCCAACACTAGTCATGCACTGATAAAAGAAAAATATCAGCCCCTATACCTAAACAGGAGAATGGGTAATTCCACATCCTGGTGTGGCAAGAATACCAAACTACAAGGAGAGGGAAAAAGAGATCTTAAGTACCTATATAAGTATATTGTGTGCATCAAGGCACAAGTGGACTGTTTGTAGCCTAAACACGGAAATTACAGGTGATATGGCTCCTACGCAACAACCATCTACACTTGACATCCCCCAATTCACATAACAAAAAAATGGATAGCATTTGGACAACATGGACCCCCAGCAATAGATGAGGGTCCCTCGTGGATTTTATCAGACGTGACATGAGATTATTGCTTGTAAATTACTACATGTTAGTAATAATTACTGGTCACTTCAGAAGATCAAGCTAAGGATGACGGCCCACCAAATCCTCATTTAATCTGCTGAATACCAACTTAACTGGAATACATGCCACCGTGGGCATACTTCCTTGTTTGATTAATAGACCATCCACTTGAAATCTTTTGAAGCCACCACGCTTCGCATCGATACTCTGTTTCTGCTGTGAGGCAATTGATGAGAGAGTTCTTATCTTCTGATGATTGGAAGGGAATGTTATATTTCTCAGGGACTTTTTAGTCAGACTCTTCTTATCTAATGGAAGAGGCTGTTGTGATGTGTTCTTCTTTTTCACCAGACTGCCACTACTACTTGCGGCCTTCTGACCAAAGCATGTGGCTTTTCTAGTATTTCTGTTGCGCTTAGTTGATGATGATGATGGATGATGACGGGGAACACGAGCACCAGTTGTCCTACGAGCAGTCCTCCACGTGGGTTGGAGTGATGAGTCATCATCTAACGTTTCTGGACATATATCATTAACAGCACAAAGAATATCATCAACGGTGCCCTTGTCAAGCACTTCAACTTTCACAGGGTGCCCCACTATCGCATGCCCAGATTTCTTACTAGTTAATGAAATCAAAGGCACAGGCTGCCTCTTGTAGCCGGCTTGGACTTTTAAGTCTACTTCTATGAGCA